TTTTCTAGAAATATCATTGAATGGTGATTATGTTATGTGTGACATTAGATCTTTCTGAGGTCTTAACAGAGGTGTTTTTTTTTTGTTGTTTGTTTGTTGTTGTTTTTTCTCTGATGGCTGCCCAGTACAGGTATCCAAACTCTTGACCTTGGTGTTATAATACCATGCTCTAACCAACTACACTACCTCTATCTGTTCTATGGAGAACAGAGCACCTCCTGTGGGGAGGATAGTTGACTGAAGTACCCACCTGCTTCCTATCTGAAATAATCATGTTAATGTTGAGGCCAGTTTTCTGAGCACAGCAGAAGTATTAATGCAGGTCAATTCTTCAGAGATCCAGATTCCTCAACTGGGAAACTTGGGATCTACTCCCCATCAGCCAGGCTTAAACTATCTCCAAACCGCATTGCAAGATAGGCTTAAACTATCTCCAAACTGCACTACATTTTTATAGTTTTCTCCACAATCCCCCCCCCCCCCCTCTCCTTCAGTTATCAGTCTTGCATCATGGCCTGAAGGCTTTCACTACCTTCCCTGATTCTCTTCTTTTTCCTTCATAGTTAGTTACCCCAGTATCCTTTATGCATCTGATCCTGTCTTGATTTTTGCTTTTTGGAGGATCAACACATACCCTCAGCTTACCTTTAGACTATGTTTTCCTAACAGTGCCCTGGGTTTTATCTTTGTCCAGAGACCATTTCTGAAAATAGAATCATTTGCCTTCTGGAGAGCCTGGGAATTTCTAAAACCAAGTCCTAATTCACCTCTGTTTAAATATCCTTCCTTAGCTTATCTCACTACTTGCACTTCAAGCAGAAAGAAGCTAGGTGGCACCTTCAACATCCGACTTGGAAGTCTTGTTAGTTAAATTACCCATTTGTTTAAGGGGTATTTTCTACTTTTCACATTGTCACATGCAACGATGTTGCTAAACTTTCTGCTACTCCATAACAGGAATCCTCTTTCTCCCATTCTATAGTAACATTTTTTAGTAGTCTCCTCAAA